GGTATTAGATATGATATTAAAAGAAAACACTTCTTTCAAGTTACCTTTTAATAAAACAAATAATTTCGTAAGTAAGTGAAGTCACTCTCATTTTATTATCTGTAAAAATGAAGATTTAAGTGCTTTCTAAGTAATATCAAAATGTTATTCTAAGTTTGTTGAATCGTAGATGTCCTTAGGGTATTGTAAAATAAACGCTCTTCCTTTTTGTTTTTTTTTAACTTTATCAGCGCCGCCCATGGACACCTGAAATACCAAGGAGTTACAAGTGCGTTACTAGTATTTTGGAATTTGAGAATTTGAGGATTGTGGAGCAATCGGGGATTGGGAAGACTGGGGAGGGAGGGTAATTGGGTCTCCGGTAACCTCGCTTACACGACGAAACACAACGCAAGCATTGTTTTACGTTGGTTTTCTGTGAGGACGTGGTATCACTCCGGTCGAGCCGGCCCATTCGTGCCGATGCATGACTCTTCCACCTTAGAGGACCTACATCCCAAGAAAGTTCAAAAAAAGGCGTACGTAATGTAACTTTGCAATTATTGAACTGTTGAAAAAATATTTCACAACAGAGCACTATGGTCTATCCGACCCAAGAATCGAGCCCGAGATCCTTTCATCACGTAATTGTATCTGGAAAACTCAACATAGTCACAACCAAATCCTTCTTTTTTTAAAAAAAAACGTTGCCCCACTTTAGGATTTTCTCCTGTGCCGTGGGTGCATTTACAAACATACAAGTTCACATACACATTGACACCCAGACCCGGAACAACAATTTGTGGATCACACAAAGTGTTGTTCCGTGCGGGAATCGAACCCGCGACACGTTGCACGGCAGCCAGTTGCCCAGCCACCGCACCAACCTTGCAGACTGTAAAAGCTGTAAAAATTTTTCTTTTGAATTAAATAACCTTAAAAACGAAAATTAGAATAAGTCTAATGGCCACTGAAGTATCTCTTAATGAGAAGATCCCGCGAAATTATAATTATGTTAATTTAAACACAAAAGTTTCGCTAATTCTCAACGCAATGTTACTTTGTTCTTTTATAGACGAGAAATTAACATTTTCTTAATACCTGAAATTGTTATAAAGTCCTATGGTAACAGAGTAAATTATTAATTCCACCTCTACTCACACCCCGCGTGTCGTAAGATTCTGGATTAATTTCGATTTTAGGGTTTTATTTTATTTTTATATGTGACTAGCTACTTCCGCGCGGTTTCACATGCTCTGTTTAGCTCCTATTGGTCGTAGCGTGATGTTTTATAGCCTATAGTCATCCTCGATAAGTGCGCTATCCAACGCAAAGAGAATTATTCAAATCAGACTTGTAGTTACGGAGATTAGCGCGTTCAAACGAAACAAACAAAAAGCAAACTCTTCCGCTTTATATAATAGAGGTAGTATAATGTTGGAATACTCAAACGCTACTCGCGCTTAAGTATAGTTCTGTCTCTACAAATTCTTAGTAAAATGACAGAGATGGCACGATATTTAAGCACGACTTAAAATTGAGTAACGTTTCAGTATTCCAGCATAAGATAAGCCGGTAAACGAGCTAACGGATCACCTGATGGTAAGCAATCGGCGTCGCCCATGGACACCTGCAACATCAGGAGCGTTACAAGTGCGTTACCGGCCTTTTGGGCACTAGGAATTTGAGGAATGTCGGAGAATCAGCGATTGGGGAAGGGGGGAGAGAATTGGGCCTCCGGTCACCTCACTCATATGACGAAACACAACGCAAACATTGTTTTACGTCGGTTTCCTTTGAGGCCGTGGAATCACCCCCATTCGTGCCGAAGCATGGCTCTCCCACACTTAAAAGTCAGGAATACTGTAGAATTAATGTCAAAAATCGATCTTATTCTAAAGATATTGGTTTTTGATTTGGTTAAATGTGCGGTAAGAGACTACACAATTGAATGGATAGCAGCGCTTTGTCTAGATACGAGTGATTTAAGCAACGCCTTATCTACGACTAGCGACAAGGTATTTTGCTCGCGCTACGACGTGAATACGAGGTATGTAGCTCGCATTAAGACATGGCTGTGAGGTGTATAGCTCGAGCTAAGATGTGACTACGAGGTATTAGCTCGAGCTACTATGTGACTACAATTTATTGGCTCGAGCTACGATGTGGCTACGACGTATGTAGCTTGCGCTACGATGAGGGTATGAGGTATGTAGCTCGAGCTACGATGTGGCTACGAGGTATTAACTAGAGCTGCGTTGTGGCTACGAGGTATTAGCTCGAACTACGATGTGGCTACGACGTTATAACTCGAGCTACGATGTGGCTACGACGTATTAGCTCGAGCTGCGTTGTGGCTACGACGTATGTAGCTTGCGCTACGATGAGGGTATGAGGTATGTAGCTCGAGCTACGATGTGGCTACGACGTATTAGCTCGAGCTACGATGTGGCTACGACGTATTAGCTCGAGCTACGATGTGGCTACGAGATATTAACTCGAGTTACGATGTAGCTACGAGGTATTAGCTAGAGCTACGATGTGGCTACGAGGTATTAGCTCGAGATACGATGTGGCTACGAGGTATTAGCTCGAGCTACGACTTGGCTACGTGTTTTGCTACGACACGTAGCTAATACCGATAAAGTTACGACGATCTACGCCGCGTCTTGTAAGGATGACTGTTATGTTATGAGTCCGATGTTAAAAAAGTTATTCCTGAGAACGATCGTTGTCATCCATGCTATTATTTTATCGCTAGCTTCTGTCAGCGATTTCGCCCGCGTTCCCGCAGGATACAAAGTAGCCTATGTGTTATTCCAGACCATAATCTATCCTTGTTCCAAATTTCATCACGACATCTTCAGCCGTTTTGACGTGATTGCGTAACAAATACACACACATACACATACATACATCCTCACACATTTTCAAGTAGTATTTACGTATGTAAGAATGGTATTGTTAGGAGTTTGGCTGACCGCCTGCATTTGACTGCAACGTACAGACGATGGTTGGCTATGGTCACCTAATTTGCTTAGTTTTTTTTTTAATTGTTATATTATTATTCTGTTTATTCACATATACAATTATTATTAATTATTACTCTGTTATATTTTGTATTTCTATTTGTTTTAATTTACTACTGTGTTTGTAACTATGGATCTCAGAGTTTGAAATAAAGAGTTATTATTATTTACCCGGTGATAACTTTAAAAAATCGAAAAATCATTTGATCCTTTACCCAACTAAAGAATCAAATCTCTTGCAAGCCAATCTATTAGGAGAAATGGTGTCAGAATGTTAACCTAATGTCAACGGAAGTCGTGGAGAATCTAACGGGTTACCGGGACTCCGGCTCGAAGCGCAGGAGAAAGAACGGGTGGTTTTTAGTCAGTAAGAGTCTGACATTCCCTCCCGCCTCACCCAGGCGGGAGCAGTCATTCGATGATTTTGCCCCCTTAACTCGTCGAGTACCGGTTTTGTAGACACAATTATAGAACAATAGGATGCGGTCACCGGTGACCGCTTGGTGTTTGACAGTTTAAAAAATGTCAACAGAAGGAAATAGAATATTACCTACAACAAAAATAAAATTGATTTCTTTTTAACGTGCGAAAATCATCGATTGACTGCTCCCGCCTGGGTTAGGCGGGAGGGATGACTACGGCGTAGTTTCAATAAGTCGTCGCGGAGAACCTAACGGGTAACCGGGGCTACGGCTCGACGTGCAGGAGAAGGAACGGGGTGGTTTTTAGTCAGCCCCGACTACCGTATGACTGCTCCCGCCTCACTCAGGCGGGAGCAGTCATTCGATGATTTTCCCCTTAAAAAAAGTCTCAAGAAGTCAATGGCAACGACTTTTTACTACGACACGGCGCAGTCAATAAAAAAGGCTAATGTCAACCATCCAAGAACTGCTTGTACTGCCCTTGACAAGTCTAGCTTAATCTTTGGTCATACATCGATCGATACAATAGAATATTTTGAAAATGTCAAAAAACTGCTGATTAAAAAAAATCTTTATTGTAATTATCATCTTTTTCTAAAAATACAACTGAGCTAGATATAAGTTAATAGATTTATTGAAGGCTGTATTATTAAATATTTGAAGCCTATTTTGTAAGCTGGCAACATTTGACTGTTTGAGGGGTGAGTTTAGTGATGTGAATAAAACAACTGTTTTTTTAAGCAGTCACAACGGTTAAAAACTCAATTACAGTCACTGATATATTTACAACAATAACACAACATAACATCACGCCTATTATCCTCGGAGGGGTAAGCAGAGGTGCACATTACGACTCATAAATGCCACTGTACAATGTAACACCCACATTGCACTATTTATGTTATGAGTCCCATGTAATAGGGTGTGAGCCCGAATTCATTCGACGGTCGGGCGGTGTATGTGTGGTAGGCATTTACGGATTTATTAGAGGTCAATGCGATACAATTTTCGAGCGATTCGGCGATTTCGAGGCCGGATACCAGGCACCGAATGACACACGACTCCGATACTTTGTGTAAAATAAGCAGTAAAATTATATATTATGTATATGTGTGCATAGTATTTGCAACCTGAATGATTTGTATTGTATTATTGTATATTTCACTATGGGCCAAGATGCCTGAGACAAATAAATAAATAAAATAAGATCCGCTTCACCGTCTACAGCGGCGTGTCGTGTGTTAATCGCCTAAAGGCTAGTCTGTAATCGATCGGACTAAAAGTCCTTCCTTATAATGGATAATGTAAATTTCTATTATAAAATACATGGTTGGCGCGGTGGCTGGGCAACCGGCTGCCGCGCAACGTGCAGCAGGTTGGCAGCGGGCGGCGGAGCAAAGAGACACAAGGAGTTGTGTAATCCACAAATCGTTGTTCCGGGTCTAGGTGTCATTGTGTATGTGAACTTGTATGTTTGTAAACGCACCCACAAAACAGGAGACAAACTAAACGTGGGGCAATTTAAAAAAAAACAACAAAACACCATTAGGCATCACACTTCTTCCTTAATTTTACATACAAAACTTAAACTCAGCAACGTAAACGAATAATAACAGTTACCAACGCACAACGCTACGACAACGGAACAAAATCGATAGAACAACCCTAGTATTATAAAAGAGGGGTGAGGTTAAGATGTCGCAACCCCATTCTTAATACCATTGCAATATCAACCTTATGAACAATGTAATAAGTTACAGAATACTATGTAAACATAGAATTAACTTTACATAACTATATCTAGGTTGTAGGCCATGAAATAATCAGTAACTTTCATAAAAACGATGGGAACAGACGCGTTTTAGGCCGAACGCGTCGCCTCAACCAAGCAAGCTAGCAACAAAAAAAAAAGATTAAAAAAAATGTGCCTCATAACGATTCGCGCGAAAATAATTTGACGTTTTAATTTTTTTCGTGTGTAAAAAGATTTTCTTGTGGAAAATGGAGACGTCTCGTATGTTTTGTGTGCTATAGTAATGTCCGCGTGTGATTCTTTGGTGAAAAATATTGTGGTGATTAAGAATTAATGATTATAAGTCTGTGGGATCGTGGATGGACCATTTGATGGTAGGTATAGAGTAACTTTACACATTTATTTAAAGGTTAAACACTAAAATTATGGATTAGAACATCAGATAATCGCGAAATCCATTGTTTATGATAAGTACATAGGTCATATTTATTACTTTTTATCAATAATTCTTGATATAGTCCACAAATATGGCTTAGAAATCTCATTTGATCTACAAACGATTGTATTTTTTATTCGTAATGGCAGTAATGGTACGGATAGTATGAAAACTTCGCGATCTCTAATGGTAAGGTTAATTAATGTCCTTCTGAAACTTGACTTAAATGAAACATTGTAAGCATATAGATAGCTATTATATCGTTTTAGCTAATCTATACATCTATACAAATAAATAAAATTGGAGTGTCTGTTTGTAATATTAAAATAACCGCTTTTTACTACATGCCTATGAATATACATACGATACAAATACGAAAATATTTTTTTTTTTAATTTTCGTCTGCCTGTCTATACTGGATAATCTCTGGAATGGCTGGACCGATTATGACGGAACTTTTATTGGCATGTAGCTGATGTACCAAGAAGTAAAATAGGCTGCCATTTATTTTGAAAAATTGATACAAATAAACTGTTATGTCCTAAAATTTATTTATTAATATTGTTATCGTCATCAGCATGATCAGGCCATGACAGTCAACAGTTGGATTATGGGCCTCCTCCATAAAAGGATTTTCTATAATCTCTATGCATGGCAGACAGGTGTTTTATCAGAAACTGCATCTGCCCGATGCCTGTTGACTATGTATCTATTTAAGTGTGGGAGAGCCATGCTTCGGCACGACTGGGCCGGCTCGACCAGAGTGATAGCACAGCCTCATAGAAAACCGACGAGAAACAACGCTCACGTTATGTTTTTTCGTGTGAGTGAGGTTACCGGAAGCCCAATAGACCGACTGGGAATGGGGGTTCTCTCCCCAGTCTCCCTAATCCCCGAATTCTCCACTATCCTCGAATTCCCAATTCCCAAAAGGCCAATAACGCACTTGTAACGCCTTGGTGTTTCAGGTGTTTATTGGCGGCGCCGATTGCTTACCATCAGGTGATCAGTTTGCTCGTTTACCGGCTTATCCCATAAATGAAACTAGTGCGTAAAGCACAAAGACGATTGAACTGAATCGCCACCGTACCGTCAACTTGGTTGCCGCGGAGAATTTAACTGGTTTCCGGGGCTCCGGCTCGAAGTGCAGGAGTAGGAACGAGGTATGTCTTTACATTATTTTCACAATATGTGTGTACAATATTGGAATGTGTATCAGAACAATGTAAAACAGACTTTTTTTAAAAGAGTAACGAATGGAGTTTCTTGCTCGTTCTTCTCCACTCGAGTCTACATTTTGGAACGAGCGCCTAGCTTCACTGACGGACAGACTGACAGACTATTATATATTTCATATTTGTTGACGTTTCAAAAGTACCAAATTATGGTTTAATTGAAATAAATGCTTTTGAGTTTGAGTTTGACTTTTGAAATGGTTTTTAGTCAGTAAGAGTCTGACATTCCCTCCCGCCTACCCAAGGCGGGAGAAGTCATTCGATGATTTTCCCCCTTAAAAAACCGTCAATTTGGTTCGGCGGTCCAAGCGTATTCATTGAAAATGTGCGATACGGATCGCTGTACACACGATCCAATATGGTCCGCAGCAGACTTCAAAATTGACCGTTCGGTTCGATCTGTGCTTTATGATACCTGCAGAAAGAGAAGGGGTGGTGACGAGACGAATGTATATTTGCTATCACCAGGATAGACTCAAAGGAGGGGAGGAGATATATTTTACTGTGGTTGCGTTTATATAATGTGTTTCGTGAAAATGTTACTCTGATTTTCTTTATAATATTAACTAGCTACTACCGCGGGGTTTCACACGCTCTGCTTAGTTCCTTTTGGCCGTAGCGTAATGTTTTATAGCCTATAGCCATCCTCGATAAATGCGCTATCCAACGTAAAAAGAATTATTCAATTCGAACCAGTAGTTTCGGAGATTAGCGCGTTCAAACAAACAAACAAACTCTTCAGCTTTATAATATTAACTCGTCGAGTACCGGTTTTGTAGACACAATTATAGAACAATAGGTTGCGGTCACCGGTGACCGCTTGGTGTTTGACAGTTTAAATATAGATAAGAGTATAAGATTTAATCGATAAAGAAGCAAATTAATTGTTCTTGGTTTTCCGAAAAAATCAATTTTCAGCCAGCAACGACTAGATACTATTCGATTCTATCGTCATCACACGTCGTAAGCACATCTTATACATTTCAACCTACCCCTTTTCAACACGAAGCCTAATAACAACTGGTCCCAGCACTTAAGTCATAAGATTAAACAGTAAATCTTCAAGCCAACTTTATAGGTAACGGGGCTCAGCAAATGTATTGAAATTTAAATTTATTCGAAAAACTTTCTTTAGGGGCCCATTACACGTATTTTGGCGGTATATTGAGATTTTCAGGCCCTTTTAGGATGGAAAATTGTGGCTATAAATGTCTAAGTGACAGATGAGATTTCGATATTGGTTTGTAGAATTTCTAAAGTTGAAATGGTCGTGATGTAAACGGTCTCAAAGTCAAAGCATTTATTTTAATTAACTCGTCGAGTACCGTCATTATAGACACAATTATAGAATAATAGGTTGCGGTCACCGGTGACCGCTTGGTGTTTGACAGTTTAAACCATAATTTGGTACTGGACTTTGAAACGTCAACAAATACAAAATAAATAATAGTCTGTCAGCCAGTCCATCAGTGAAGCTAGGTGAAGCTAGGTGCTCATTCTAAAATGTAGATTCGAATGGAGAAGAACGAGCAAGAATCTCCATTCGTTACTCTTTTTAAAAAAGTATGTTCTACAATGTCTTTGATACATTACTGATAACAATGTCTCGGGTTCGATTCATGCGTTGGGTAAATTATTGTCGGTTTTGGAGATTTTTTTAGTAACCAGTTTGGGCTTTGCTCGCGTTCCCAGGGGTAAAAAGAAGCCTATGTTTTACTTCTGACGATAATCGGCCTCTGTTCGTCTGTTCCTGTTTTTTTAGGGTATCAAACCCTGGAAACTGCCCAGTGGAATATTTTGTACTGTAACAAAGCGACCAAGAAATCTATTTTAAGTGGCTATAGAAAATACATTTCTAAGGCAGAAATTCTGCGAAAATGTTTCGTGGCAAATTGAAGAAATTCCTGTTGCTACTTAATGGAGACAAAATATGAATAAACACCCACACCTTACTATCAATTGAATTCATCCTAACAATATAAATGTAAAAGTATCTTTGTTGGTTTGTCCGTCTTTCACGGCAAAACGAAGCGACAAGTTGGCGTGACATTTTAAGTAGAGATATTTACGGACCCGCGGAGGACTTGCCGGGGCTCTGGCTTCTCCGGCTCGACGTACAGGAGAAGGAACGGGGTAGTTTTTAGTCAGTAAGAGTCTGACACTCCCTCCCGCCTCACCCAGGCGGGATAAGCCATTTGATGATTTTCCCCCTTAAAAAAAGTGGAAATAGTTGAGGGAATGGAGACTAACATAGGCTATGTTTTATGTCTAATGCCTAAAGAGTATTGGCGCCGCCAATAAAAAATAAGGGCGTTATGGCTTTTTTTTGAGGGGGAAAAGGCATCCAATTACTTCTCCCGCCTTGGATTAGGCGAGAGGGAGTGTCAGACTCTTGCTGACTAAAAACCACCCCGTTTCTTCTCCTGCTCTTCGAGCTGGAGCCCCGGCAACCCGTTAGGTTCTCCGTGGCTCCGTATATCTGGCTACTATAGACTTACACGCAGAATACACACACATTGACATGAAGTACATCTGTCGCGTGACATGGCCCGTCATTACACTTCATACATTACGGTGTTGCAAGTATACGCACACATGAATACACCACTGATATTTTTTTTTCATGGGATAAACCGATAAACCAGTCGACGGATCACCTGATAATAAGCAATCGGGCAACAGCCTTAGATCGTAATGTGAGGGCCAGTCTGGAACTCAACTGATTGTTGAACCGCTCGTCTTGCGATAATATACTGCCAAGTTTGGGGGCGATTATCAAAACTGCGGTCTCGTGAGTTTTGAACATTTCGCCCCCATTCCGCCACGGCAGCGAGCGCGGGAGAAATTTGCGCCGTGACTCCTTAGTCTATGAGTTTAATCCACCAATGCGTGAATATATTTTTCATAATTCTGCCTTTCCCTTCAAAATAATGCGAGCGAAGCAGCGGGCAAAACCTGTTTGTTTATAGCCAAAACATTGAAGTTATGTAGGCGTGTTTCATAAATCTAAATTTAGATTCTGGCCGGGAATTTTGTCCTGAACTTTATATTTATATAGGGCGACATACTTACTATCTGATACTAAATATATGTTACATTTTAAGTGTGGGAGAGTCATGCGTCGGCACGAATGCCGGTTCGACCGGAATGATACCACGGCCGAAGAGAAAACCGACGTGAAACAACGCTTGCGTTGTGTTTCGTCATGTGAGTCAGGTTGCCGGAGGCCCAATTATCAGCCCCTCCTCCCCAATACGCAACGTAACGCCTCTGGTGTTCCGGGTGTCCATGGGCGACGCCGTTCGCTTACCATCCGTCATCTCGTTTACCAGTTTGTCCAATAAAATAATTTATATTTCTTTCATACATTTTTTTATTTTATTTGGAGTTAAAATAAATACCGTTTACAATATGATAGCTAGTCAAACGAGTGAACAGAAAAATCAATATTATGAGCTTGACGCGAGTTTGGACATATATTCTCGGGTGTATTTTAAGTGTCGGAGAGCCATGCTTCGGCTCGAATGGACCGGTTCGACCGTGATACCACGTTCTCACAGCCGGTGTGAAACATTGTCGCGTTGTGTTTTGTCTAGTGTAAGTCATACACGCTATGGTCTACCGAAGATGTCAAGCTCACTTTCAAATGTAACCGATCACCTATCACCTTAAGTTATAGTGTCATCATCAGCCTGCACCAAAC